TTGTCATTGTGCCCATTGCTTTACATTTATCCTACATTTGGTTTCTTAAAATGTTATTCATATTTAGTCAATATTTTTATTTTTGAAATCGCAAGAATCAATATATCATTACATTGAAAAGTTTTAAATTAAAAAAAATACAAATACAAATTTTACGAAAAAAATTATTTCTTCCTTTTTTTTAAGCATTCGAAAGTATATTAAAAAGTATCCAATTTTCGAAACATTTTGGTATTCTGACATCATTTTAATAAGTTATCGCCTTCCATTTCATTACCCACAAACGGCCGAGCGGTAAAGACGCTGATCACTGGTAGTTCGGTCCGAGGTTCGATCCCGCAAATGGGCTGGTTTTGGGTTTTCGTGGTTTTCCCCTGTGTAACATTATACGAGCCAGTTTCCCTTAGAAGTCCTCCACGAAGTCCCTTTATGCAGATAGCCTCTGTGCTGTGCCATAATTAAATATCCAATCAATAATAAATTGATTTGTAACTCTACTAGAACTGACGTTAAGAATTGAGTGCAATAAATAATATCGTGTGCAATCTTGATTAATATAAAATTAAAATATTGGCATTCAGACAAAAGTTTTTGAAATATTGCAATTACTTTATGAGAAGGATTATTAATAACCGTAAATTACTATTATATTACTGATGATTAGGATCAGTTTTGACAATTACATTCTAAATTAGAATTTTAAGAATTAGAAATTAAATTAGAATATGAAAAACGCTACGCACAAAAATACATTTTAGGTAAAAATGAGTTGATTTTTATGTTTTAAAACTTCTTGAATTCATTAATAAACATCGTATCCTCGTTGAATTGAATTCAGAATGTTGGGTGTCGTTTATATAATTATTCTTACTTGTTCACGAAATCCAGGATTAGTAGCTGCTGATCATTTCTATATAACCATGAACTTCCATAATTCAGTCTCTAGAGGGTTGTATATTTATATCATATTTGACTTTTATAAAAATTTTATTCTAAATTTTTGTTTCTATAAAAATATACTGTGCTTTAAAAATATGGATGATAGTACCAGCCGCTCTTTCAGCCACTTCAAAAGCATCAGTTTGTTTAAATAAATTGTGCAGTTTAATGTCATAAAATTCAAATAAACATCAAACGAAAATTCTCAGTTTTAGACAATTCGATTTAAACGAAGTAAAGTAGCAGACGATAAAACGCCCGAAGGTAAAAATTTACTCTTATTAAAAAAAAAAAGAAAAAGATAGAGTGAAATTTAAAAAATTTTAAAAATTTATTTAAAAAAATAGCTTTTCATATAGTATTAATAAATATTATTACGCATCATTGAGGGAAAAAATGTCATATAATTAATTCTCCGTAAAATTTACTTGAAATTTAAGGTTAAAAATAGCTGTGGCAATACAGCGTAACAAAAATCCATAGACCACATTTGGCGTTATTATCGCTCAAAAAAAAGATGCCAAATTTCAAAACGCGAAAATGTAATTTGTGTATATCTTAGAAAATTTTGAATAAAAAAGTCTAATTTTTTGCAGATATGCTTAAAAAATACCTACTTTAAGATGATGGTAAAAATTTTATAGGTTATAATTCAAAATTTTTTTCGAAAAATTTATAAAAATTATTTAAAAATAGAAATTTAAAAAATAAAACACAAAAAATTGGGTAAAATTTTATTTGGAATGAACCTAAATTTCGAAATGTGAGAGAAAAATCGAAAAGTTTAATAAAAAAAGAGATATAAATAAATATTTTCCAAATTCAATTAACATTGAGGAACTAAAATTTTGAGAGCTAATATTTCAAAAAACTACTCGTATGATTTTTACAAAACTTGGTATTCTGGCATAATTTGAGTCGTAGAATCGAATCGAAATATGGTAAAAAAAAATGGTATGTTATTTCAGAAAAAGTCCGATTTGTGTCAAAATACCTATGTTAGAATAGTGCTATATATAAATCTAATATATCCTAAGTCGCGCTTTCGAGACATGAGAACGCAATTTGAATTTCGTGAATCGCCCAGTAGAACGGGAGATTATACACTGTCCCCCCTTCCTTTTTTTTTTTTTTTTTTTTTTTTTTTTTTTTTTTGAGCAGTGTACATATACACAGCCAATGGATCTTTGCCAATGGAAAAATTTTTTGCATGTTGTGATTTTTTAACAAGGAAACATTTTGGGTATAAAAACAACTAGCCTATGACTCTAATGTTATAGACTACAGTAGAAAACTTGAAGCAGCCAAATTTTCAAAAATAAGTAATAGACATCACAAAAAGGGTCAGTAAAAGCCCAATTATAAACTTTTTTGTCATTTGCTGCCTGTGCAACTGGTACCTAACTAAAAGAGGTCTGTTATGAAGACCAGAAATTCAATGTCCAGTGATTGTAACTACTCAGAATGACTGCTACTGCAAACACAATGCCGCCTATCAGTCATTAAAATCAACCTGCTTCCAACTTTGCATAATCAACAGGAAGAGTTTACTTCCATAAACTCCTTACAGACAGCTACATGCTGGTCATTTATTTGTATGCAAGATGATCAGTGGTTTGCATTCCATTGGCATCTTTGCTCAGATAGCCCCACTTAAACTGGTCTTGGTATCCCCTCAACTGAATTCTACATGAAAGAGATGAGTCAGGGTTTTGTCTAAATTGATTTCTTGTTATTGAATTGAAGAATGACTAGAACTCACTGAAGCATTAATGAAATGCACTCATACAGAGGTGATGGTTCTAAGATAGGGCACTTATTTCTGTCAACAGCCATAATAATCTCCACATCTCTCCTAGTGCTGTGACTGCAGTGCATTTATAAAGATAGCTCTGTATGTTCACTAATTTTTCGTGACTGTGTGGCTGAAGGCCATTATGATGGGAAGATAAAGTTTGAGTTAATGAGTACACATTCCGGCCAATTCTTTAAACACAATTTCAAAACGGAGCACCTATTGAAATCACGAACTTGAATCTCTTTGAACATGTATGACATTTGATTTCTAACCATGACTCTCCCTTGATTGATTACAAACTAAAAATTTATCTATTGTATAAATGAACATACACATTTAAAAACCACCATAGCTGATCTTATTTTTGGCAAGAATCGACAAGAGTCAGTGTATGTTTCTACAGCGACATGACATTTCATACAGGTACACATCCACCAAACTTTTCACCCATTAAAAATCCTGTATTTTTGTTTGCCACTATTATTTAATTATTTACTGATCATTTTCTTTCCATTTCTGCATGTTGATGTCTTTTGTAATACCCATCATATTATTAAACTTCGTTAAATTCAGATAAACTCTTTAACTTGTGGGCATAAGTGTAACCTTAGAATTGCGGTCAGACCCTCATCCGAGTAAGTGGGATTCTGCTTAGAAGACAAAAATGTCTGGTAATGTTAAATCCTGGACTTCTGCAATCTGATTGGCAACAAGTAAAAGTTTTTTTTACCTATTGAAGTGTGACAATAAGCAGAACAAGACCTCTTGAGAATATTCCCAAACAGAACTGTATGCTAAAGCAGCATAGTGTCACAACCTTGAAATTATAAAGCCAGCTTATGAAATCATTCTCATAACAAAATATAGTGATCCTGAACAATATTGTTGGACATATCTGCTTCATTGTCAGTATCCTGCATATTGCCAAATAGTAACATGTGGAAATTTATAATTTTCCAAGGTTTAATATCTTTTTGCAGTGAATTACTGGATATCTTTATATTGTATATGTTTTGACTGAGAATTATAACCTTTTATAAAATATGAGGTGAAACATATAAAACACAATATTTAATTTTCCTATGTGTGTTCTTGTGTTTCATACGTTTATACACAGACTGAGTTCTAATTTACCATATATGCTCATTATTATTATGTTTAGAATTTTGGGGTGGTTTAGAAATGAAAAAATTATTTTAACATTAGAATCCATTTTGGTTTAATTATATATAATCATTTTAGGAATATAAAACTGCAAATTTAAAAGTCTTAAGTTATAATTCCAGTCTAGGGCAATATATTGCTATGTCTACTTTTTTAGAAAGCTTGAAAATCAAATTGGTCTGTAAGTATTGCTTAAGCATAAGTACTTTTGAGTCTTTAACAACTACATTGTAAGTATCAGTTAACTACCTTAATAATGTTTTCTTCCAAATATTTTTTGGACCAAAAAGAAGCTTTATTAACCATTTCACAATCTGCATCATTCTTTTACATTTAACAATTTCACTCATACTTCCTGAAAAGGCCTCTCTGACAGTGGGAGTTGTATGTAACACTATCAAATACTGAAATTTCAGAATATCTGAAAATGGTGTATGTAACACTATCAAATACTGAAATTTCAGAATATCTGAAAATGGTGTAATAGGCAATATTGCAGCAATTACATCAATAAAATTCATCCGCTCATTGAAATTACTCGTTAAAATAGGTGCTTTCAACTGTAGTAATGTAAAATAGTAAATATTGAAGTTTATGTTAGTTTCTTAGTATCATCATGATATCTTTGAGTCAAGCTTTTAAAATCGGAATAAATCTTTTTCAAATATTCCAAGTGCAGTTTAGTTTCATTTTTTAGAGAGATCTGAAGTCATGCCATGGAAAAACATTTGCTGTACCACATGAGCTTATAACTTCCTTCATCCATGCTAGTAGATGCTTACTCACTTCCAGAATAATGATAATAGCAAAATATAATTTATTGAACTAAAAAAGGGTAAAATTGGTTTATCTTGTTGACTACCTCCAAATGTTCATCGACTTAAATGAGCTCAGAGGCATGCAGAAAAGTACCATTTAGTATTTTCTGTTTTAAAAGCTTTTAACAAACCAAAAATTTTACCGCATGTAAAGCGAAAATGATAAAAATTAGCATTCAAATTTCTTATAAAAAAAGCAGGTGTATGATATATTTAGAGATTTACATTTGAGTAATCTTCTGGTATATATTTTCAATAATGCTATATTTTTTAAATTTTAGACTGTTCTACAACACTTATTCTTGAAAAATTTAATTCTAAACCGACAGAATGGACTATTGATGATGTTATTCACCACATTTGTGCTACAGACCAAACCATGATATCACATGCAGAACTTTTTCGACGTCATGTAAGTTATTTGTCGTGAAATATTGATCCCTTGTAATTTAAATATTTATGACAGTTTACTTATCTCCATTTATATGTATTTTTTTTCTTTATTACAGGAAATAGATGGGAAAGCTCTTTTGTTATTAAATAGTGATATGATGATGAAATACATGGGTCTGAAATTGGGGCCTGCTTTGAAAATATGCAATTTGATTGAAAAGTTGAAAGCCAAAAAGTACTATTAGATTTGTTCTACCACCAGCAACCTTAATCAGCTGCTGTTCAATTTGTACTTCAGGAAAAGTTTTGTTATGAATTATTTTTCATTTGAAATAATAATTATTTTTGTGTATCAATATAAGCAGGAAAATGTGTACTTGAAATTAACTTCCACCACTGTGATATTCTTGAGTTTAAATTTATTCATTGCATTTCTGTGTATGTGATGTCTTAATTTTTACAGTGGTAGTTACCATGTTTGATCTGTTTGTGTAGTATTTATTACACCTGATTTGTTGTGATTTATATTTTTGTTTGTTTGTGTGTGTATGTGTGTGTGGTCATTTGCTTACCTGTCTCTAAAAGGCAGTGGTTTATTATGTTTAGATTTGTTTCTTAATCCTCTGAGTGGCATGTGTTTGGAGATCTACTTGTGAAAACCTGTATTTAAACGTAATTTATTTGCTAAATTTGTGTAATTACATATTTTAGTCTATTTCCATAAAACTTCCATTCATTAAGATGACATCAACATTATCAAAGAATGTAATTCAGCAAAATATAAACTTATAATGTACCAAGTGACAAAATCTCTTGACTGGATAAAGCTTGTCATGCCACTTAGAGGTTTAAAATTTATAAACATAGCCTAAAAATATGTTAAACATGAGTCTGAAGAAGAAAAAAATTGAATTTGTGACCTGTTAACTATAAAAACTTGTGTATTTCTGGAATGTTTTTAAAAAATAAACACTTCCAAAACTGTATACTAAAACATACTACTAATAATATCTAAACAAATGCCCATTTTAAGGGACTTATTTCAGGCATTCTGAATGTGTTATGCATTTTATGTAAAAATAACAGTAGAATCCTGTTAAGAAATTACCCAAGAGTTGAGAATTTCTAGTATAGGAAGGCAAGTAGAAATCATTATAATTAAAAGCAATAAAATTGTAATTTGTACATATTGTCATGAAATAGTGACAAATTCACCTCATTTTTATATAAACAGATAAAATGTGTCAATTTTGAAAAAAAAAAAAAAAATTACCTCCTTTAAGCTACAGTTTTGACAATAAATGCTCAAAATAAGGACTGGGTATGTCTAGTATTATTGTAAAATCTCTTCATCTCGTGGTGGTCCTCTGTTCAGAGTTGTTCAGTTATTCACATCTCTAATATATTTTCATTCAGATAAATAAAATTTTCATATGTTCCATTTTCATTAATATTTTCCTTGCATGATATCTCACTCACTCATCTTGCACACATCATCCTCTATGTCGCATTTGTCTACTTCACATAGTCTTTCTTCGTAAATAATCTGGACATATATGAAAGCAAGCTTTTTGGAACCAGTTGGTTTTCATGGTAGGATTAAATTGATCATAAAATGCAACCAAATCTCATCACTATCAACTCAGAATTTGAAATTATATACTGGAGCAGCTGCATTAGAAGTGGCCTACATTAGTCTTCAAAGCAACTTTCTGATGTCTAGGCTCTGGAACTGCTGAGAATTATCTGGGAAACATTCAGTGTGGGGGCTCAACTAATGTGTTATGTTTTTAAGGTATGTAGAACAGTTGTTGTTGAAAATGTCCTTTCCCTTGCATATTTTTACCTTCGTCCAGACATTTTCATTAAAAAGGGTATTAGTTGTGTCCTTTAATTGTTACCCTGTCTGCTGAGCAAGTTATTTGCATGCTTTAAATGGAAAAAGTTCGGCTGTATCATTTTATTATTAACTATCTCCCTTGCTTAGCAACTTTCTCGTTTAAAAAAAAAAAAAAGATTAAAAGAAAGAGGAAATTGTAACACACTCTGGGCTCAACACATTGATTATATTGCAAAGTCTATATTAAGTAGAGGATACAATGTGGCATTTTCATATTTCTGTGCTTCTAATATGCTAATACTTCTTGATACTCCACAAGTTGCTTTACACGACAACCAAGTTCTGTTTTTAAAAGTTTCTAGACAAATTTCTAAGGTGAAAATTTCACAGCAAGTCTATTAGAATACATACCATTAGTTTACATATGTAAAGCAATGAACCTTTTTAAATCCATCATTTTTTTTTTAAGCATATTCGTTTTACTAAGCAAAGCTAAAAGATATTAAATGTAATAAAAGTGTAACGGATTAACAAAAATGAACATTTGGAGATGCTGAAGATCATTTTAATCTAGGTGTTATATTTTGTCTTTCATTGCAAATATTCTTCTAAAGCAGAAAATTGCATGTGAGTACATAAATGATTATAAGGAAATTCACACTTTTATACTTCTGAACATTTTCCCTGCATTAAAATTAGCAATAAAATATCTTGAGTAAATTAATAACTGTTTAAAAGCATTAAAAGAGGCCACTTACCATTTTTACAGTTTTTCTGTTACAAACTGTGTTGTTATAGTACAAGGTCAGAGATCAGGAATCATTGGGACTTCTGATTTCAGATCTTTCTGGATATTGGATCATTATATTAAATGTGGTAAGATAAAATGTAGAAATATAAAATAGCTGTTTGTGAAAAGAAACATTTCTGTGACCTCACATAAAGCAGAGTTTACAAAAGCTCAATGTTCTCATTTATTTTGTTTTATTAAATATATCTTTCAATTATTAAATTTATCTTTCAAGTTGTTTAATCAGTTTTGTTTTTTGTGTTACAGATACGCACAATTTCATGTTCACTTATAAAATTGTATCATTCAAGTCATGCAACTGCTGAATAGTTAGACAGCAAGGGGTAGTCAATTTATTTTAAATAAAGTTGAACATTGGAAGTGTTTAACTTTATGAAATTTATGAAATTTATAAATAAAAATTCCGTAAGGTATATATACATATGGATAATGTAAGACTTCTTGGGTGGGAAAATAAAACCCTTACATCTGAGAAAAACTAGTATTTAGATTTTTTTATAAGCTTTAAAAATTAAATATTTTGATCGGGGGTACTATTTATTCAGAGACTTTTCCTAATTTTGTTTCATATTCAAAATTGAACACAGGATGTAACTGATATGCCCTTCCCCCCCCCCGTTTCTTAGAAATCAAAGTACGTTTGAAATGATTTTGTTACATTGTTTGCTCCTTATGTTTATGTGATATATCTGCTGTTGGGAAACAAAATTGTCTGAACGCAAAGAAAACATTTTATTAATTTCTATTATCACTTTAAATGGGCATACACCATTTAATCTGTATCAGAATTTCGGTGGACTCGCGATTTTATGAACTTGTACAGATCACTAAAAAGTTAATGAAACTGAGAGTTTATAAATAGGAATCATATGAAAGATGTAGTTTGCTTTCACTTTTATTTAGATAAAATTTTTAAAAACACTAATTTTTGTTTACTTCATAACTATAGTTCAAGAAAATTCTGTAGAAATTTCATATAGTTAATATCTTACTTTTCAGATCCACTTCTTTTAACCCATTCACAGACAAACATATTCTCTACTCCATATTCAATTTAGTAAATCAAAATCTGCCAAGAAAAGAGATGAATAAGACTCAATTTAGAAGTTTTTTGGTGCAGATGAAAAGCTTCAGATTCTGATTTATCTCACTGCACGGATACAAAAAATTTCAATCTTATATTAATGAAATTAATGTTTTTAATTAACATGTTTCATCATTTTGGAATTTCCCAGCCAAAACTTACTGGAATTTCACCCATTAAACAGTGCCTGGAAATTACGTCTTTTCTCATTCAAATTTTTAACCTCCCAAGAGAAATGGTGAACTTTGGTTCATAGAGTTAGGTATTGTGTAATTTTAGACAACAAAATTGAGTAGAAATTAGTAGCATTTCTGAAAGTTACTTTTTTAAAGACTTGTACAGTAATTCAGAAAAACAGACAATTTTTAAATTGAAAGGTTGTAGAAATACTAATCTGCTGTGTATGACTTTGTGTCATTGTTACTTTCTCTAGTTATTTTTTCTTGCTATGTTGAATGATAATGAATGGTTTTAATGCTTTTTCTGCTATCAAATATTAATCAACAGAATAATTTCCTGTCTGCTTTTGTTAAGACCACCACTGCATGTCTGTGTATAATAGTGGCTGTATTTTAGGCTTGATTTTATGGAAGTTTAAATAAAGTTTTTTTATTGCTTAGTTTTCCAAAAATATTTCAATTTTATAATTAATTGTAATACTAAGAAGAAATACAGATGGTGTTTTCATATTTTTAAAACAATTTCTGTCTTGTTTAATGTAAGTATAAAATGTAATTTTTTTTAATATTCGATCTGATTGCTTTTTGGGGAGGGCTATAATTTTGCATCATAATTTCCATGATAGAAGAGCTTTATATAAAATTACCAGGCATATGGATTTCTATGCCTCTTCCACTACATTCCAGAGTCCATCAATCATGATGGGTTTGCACATAGAAACAGCTCTTTTCAAAAGACCAAAGGCACAACAGTCCATAGGTGAAACATTAGGAATATGTTGAAAAGGTACATATGCAGTACCTGTATCAGTCTTCACTTTTTTAAGGAATGCTGTGGTACTTTTAATAGTATGACTTTGTTGATGAAATTTTGAAAGTGATTGGGATAAAGAAATGGAGTTTCTTCTGTAAATATTTAAAACCTTCCCTTGGTAGTTCATTTACTTGATTTTAAAATTTTTTTAATTCTTCTTATTTTTAATTTCTCACTGTATGAGAATCCTCTGACAATCACACCCGTTACTGAAACTTTCATTGACGAAACCAGGTTAGTGCAATAGACCGTTTTTGTTGCAATCATTGAAGTAAAACCCATGCTTCATCAAGGGTCAGTATTTCCATTTAGCTTCTGCTAGATAGTTTTCATATAGGATTCTACAACTGTGTTGAGCCACCTGCCTTGGCAAGAGCTGGTGAACATTGTTTTTAGCTTTTTTAAGTTGCAAATTTTTGTGTATTATTTTGTTGCTTGTTACTACAGATGTATTTCAAAGACTGCAATTGATTTCTGCTTTGGTGGATTTTCTGTAGTTAAAAACAGTTTTACTTTAAAAACATCCCTCTAGTTGTGCAAATGGCAAAAATTTATATATTAATTAATATATTAACCCTCTGAGCAGCACGGGTTTTTAGATCTGTCATGAAGACCTGTATTCAAAGACTCTTTATTAGCTAAAGTTGTATATTTATTTACTTTAGGCTCTATTTTCATAAACTTACATTTATTAAGATGATATTTATATTATTAAAGAAAGTAAGAAAGCAAAATATCATGAATTATAAGCTAATATATAACAAATGACAAAATAATCTCATGACCGGACAAAGCTGGCCATAACACTCGTAAGGGTTAATACTTCTGTTGAGAAATGATCTTTGTAAAATGCTGTGGTGATACTAAAGTTTTTCGATTTTTGTTTAGATGGTACGCATTAGTCAAAAGGTTGAGAACTGCTGATTTAAGATATGATATACAAGCTAACTTATCATAAGAAATCTCCCACTCTAGGCATTATTAATCTCTATGTTGGACTCTGAATTCTTTATAATAATTGATTACTTGTTGACTAATTTCTAGATTTTAAATGTAATTGACTTTTGTGGTAATGTTAATTGACTTTTGTGGTGTCAGGTTAATTATAATTAAAAAGTTAGGACCTTTGAAGTTCCAGTGAAAAGTTTTAAAAAAAGGAGGTACAAAAAGAAATTTGCATCATATTAACAAGCCTTGAAACAGATATATAAGTTGAGTTCCAAATCCGGTTATCAGATAGTTCTGATAATTGGATTGAAATATTTCCTTGAAAAGTAAATCAAGAAAAACTTTGTTGTAATATTCATAAAACATGAATGAGCAGCACTGGCATTTTTAATGGCTGAATTCAGAGCATGCTAGTATTCTGATTGCTAATGTACTTGGCTACAGTCTGAAAGGTCCACAGTTCAGTGGCTGATAGAACTATAGCATTTACAATTTTCATAAATAGTTTATTTCCAGTATCTGGTAGCATTACTATAATCATCGTACTAAGTCAGTACTCTATCTTCATCTTTTCAATATTCTAAAAGTTAAAAGACTATTGAGGTTGAATTTTATCTGCAACCTGTGCAGTTAAAAAAAAATTGTCCATAGTTATATAAGGTATTTCTCCCGCTTTCTTTGCATGCCTTCGTGATGTGGTAGTCTGCACGCTGGGCACGTATTCCAGAGGTCCGCAGTTCGATTCTCAGTGAAGGCATTGCATATTTTTCATCTTTCCTGTTTCCAAAAATGCCTGATGTCTCTACAGTTAAAATAAATTTTTGGAGAAGAAAACAGGTTCGTTTTCATTAGTATCTCAGTGGCAAAATTGAGAATTGCTGAATAAGATGCAAATTAATGGTATTTTGTTGTTAATTATTTGAAAAGTGAATGGATATGCTTATAAAGTTTTTACAGTACAAAGTCTGAAATCCAGACTCGTCAGACTTCGGCGATTCCGGATTTGGGATTTTCCTGGATAATAGATCATCAGTTTAAATCTACTAAGATGGCATGTAGAAATTGTAAAATTAAAAATATGAACCATGATTTATGAAATAATGATTTATGATCTAAAGGGTATCAAATTTTACAAAAAAAAACTTAATATTTATTTGTTTACCTTATTAAACATTTCTTTCAATGTAAGTTGTTTTAAGTTATTTTGTTTTTTGTGCTAATACTTTCTCTAATTCTGTAGACAGAGATAATCTCTTGTTTAGTTGCATTGTTGAAGTCCTGTAATTGCTGTTTCGAGAATTCCTACTAACTTTTCAATCAAAATTTTCTCGTTTTCAGTAACTTCTGTGTCACTTTCTCCACTATCGGTAGAGGTATTTTCTGGATATAGAACCATACTACAGATTTCTCCACTCATTAATTGATTGATCATTGAGAAGCATTGTCATCACAATGAAAAACTTCTTTTTATATCACCTTCATTTATTACCGCTTCTCCACACTTCTTTATAAAATCTGTTAACTGGAAAATTTCACCTTTGTTTTGCGATATCCGAAAACCTTTAAAATTAGCGGCTGTCATCATCAAATTTAGCTATCCTTGCACCATGAGCTTGGCGACTAACAACAAGTTGTTCCGTTAAATTTTATCCTGCGTCTATCGCGCACTGTGACAATTAAGCCTGAATTTTACTAGTTTAGTTACTTATTATACTTATGTTTATTTCTTGCACATGCTTAAGGCTTATCAAATAAATAAGTTCCCACATATACGTAAGCCTTATTGAGGGCCGGCGCTAGATATCTTACCCCTTGATGCAATCTCTGTGGGTCCTAAATTTTGCCACTTGGTGCGGCCATTCGAGTCCTGGCACTAGTTTTGGATTTATGTGAATAAAAAATCAGTTATTCCTTATTCAAATAGCCCTAAATGTAAACTTTGGGTCTATGAGTATCATCGACAAAATCTATATTTAGCATATGGAAAGAAGTTTTTGGTAAATTTTTCCTTGTCAACATTTTTTAGAGCAACTGAAATCTGTAATCATCGCCAAGTGTAATGTCAATATAAAAGGTTACCACACTCCTTTATTATTCAAATAGTAACATAAAAAAAAAATTTTACGCATGCTACATGAGTCATTACTCAAGTTGTCATGTTTTGATAAACATGTGGTAATGAAAGGAAAGTATAATAAATAATGATTCGCCAGGTTGGCGTCAGATCAACAATGTGTATCTATGTGGAGTGTTTCGATTTGAGATGCGTGCCAAGCAAATATGCAGCAACGGAGCCAAATTACTGATTGTACAAATTTAATGCTAAATTGATTGTTTTTCTTCAGTAACAATGTATTTTATTTAGTGTCGAAGTGAAATTAAGAATCGGGACTCTCCAGATATTTTATTATGCTCAAAGGGGCAAATCAAATGCGCATGCATAAAGCCTACGAGAAAAATTTTGTTGGTGGTTTTGAGGTCCAGATTCTAGATCATTTCGGACTTTGTACTGTATATGAAAAAGTTAAATGTTAAAATCATAGATTCTGTATATTACATTGATTGCTATTGATTAGTATACAGTATTGGTGGGTTAGTTTTTCTGTTATTTTTAATTTTCATGAGAAAAATATTGTGATATGTCCCTGCTATTGGTTCTGAAAAGCTCAGTTGAGAGTACTGAAATATCTCAATGTTTGTCTGAAAATACCTTTCCATATTGAAAGTTTATCATTCTAATAGAAATACTTTTCGGTCAGTAAATTTAATTTCTGGTTATTAGGTGTATTATTCAGAAATTTCTGAAATCATATGGTTAGTTAAAATTCTTAATTGGTATCAGTTTTAAATTTAAAGTATGTTCAAGAAATTAACCAAAATAATTGTGCATTTATCACGAAAATGTGATATGAAGTGTTTTAATATTAAAAAAGGTTTTTCTTCATTTTTGTTTTATTCGTCTAAATACTAATTTTTTAAATGTATGTAATGCTGTTGCATTTTTTTTTTTGAGAGAAACGCAGCTAAATATATATATTTTGGACAGCTAGGCATAATTTTAATAAGCTTTTATTTGTACATAACTGATGTAATATAAATGCACTAATGTGATAAATCAAGATCACATGATCAAGTACAACTCTGAATAAGTTTGTAGTTTGATGTGATGAGAAAAATTCTCATCTATATTGTAATTGATGTGTAGCTAAAGTGACCAGATTTTCTCTATCTAAAATCAGTGCATTATTCATAGTCATAAAAAAAAACTACCTTTCAGTATATTCATTTGGTGATAAAAATTTTCCATAATGTACTTGAGAAATTCCTTTAAAGAAATATTCTGATTAAAAATTGTCCTTAACATAAACGTATGATAATATATGACTAAAACATATGATAATGAATTTTCATTACATGTTTTTAATTTTTTAATATTTTATTTTGATGCTGAAATACTTTATTGTTAAAATGTAAAATTCTAGTAATTCTAACTTTCAATTGAAACTGAATAAATATGAAGATGGCCATTATTGCAGTATTTAAATGAGTATGATTTGGGAAAATAAGAGTAATTTTATAGTCATTATTCAAATGAGAATCTTTTGAAAAAAGGAAGCTTGAAAAATGTTTACCAAATTTTATCGGCTCAAAAAATAATTACTAGTGGATTATATTAATTGTTCA